GATCAGACTCTGGTTCAGACTCTGGATCAGACTCTGGTTCAGACTCTGGATCAGACTCTGGTTCAGACTCTGGATCAGACTCTGGTTCAGGCTCTGGATCTGGTTCAGACTCTGGATCAGACTCTGGTTCAGGCTCTGGATCAGACTCTGGTTCAGGCTCTGGATCTGGTTCAGACTCTGGATCAGACTCTGGTTCAGGCTCTGGATCAGACTCTGGTTCAGGCTCTGGATCTGGTTCAGACTCTGGATCAGACTCTGGTTCAGGCTCTGGATCTGGTTCAGACTCTGGTTCAGGCTCTGGATCAGACTCTGGATCTGGTTCAGACTCTGGTTCAGGCTCTGGATCAGACTCTGGATCTGGTTCAGACTCTGGTTCAGGCTCTGGATCAGACTCTGGATCTGGTTCAGACTCTGGTTCTTTTAATTGTAAATAAAATGTTTCTAAAAGCTAGAAAACTTAAGCCCCTCTTTCAAACCAGAGTGGACCGGTCTGGAAGCTGGTGGGGGCGGGGCTTGAAACACCTTAAAGGAACAGCATCAAAATGAGACACAGCTCAGGGGGAAAGAGGTGCTGGTGAAGTTAGAATGAGGAGGATTTCAGACCAAAGCTTTGATCCACTTTATAAAGACCCAACTGAGGGATTTAATGTTTTAACGTCTCTTTTCAGACGGTCCTTGAACTCACCATGTGTGACATTCAGTTCAATCAGGAAAAATCATTTGAGGTTTTTCAGAAACATATGGGAGTTGAGAGGAGCAGTGGGGGTTCAAAGACCCAGGAAGTGTTCTGAATCTGAAAGAATCCTTGTTTAAAAACAGACCCAGGTTGGTTCTGTTTAGGTCTGAGCTGTTCCTGAAGTCTGTCCCTCCTCACACGACCCCTCTGGACTCCTGTAGTCCCATCAGTATCTCCCACCCATCAAGAAAAGCTTCATCATCTGAAGGAAGAGCTGCCAGAACTGCAGCTCCCAGTGTGCACTGCTCCCCACACAGCTGCAGCAGAGCATCATGGGTAACGTAGACCCCATCAGGACCCTGGAGAGACGTGATCCGTCTCACTGAGTGGACTGTGCTCTGATTGGACCAGCACTAATGGAGCTGGGAAGAAGGATCGATTAAACCATCACAGCACTCAGACCAGAACCGAGTCCTCAGGGACCTGCTAACAGACCAGACTTCCTGAAACAGGTCCCAGACCAGCTGAGGGGGGACATTAAGGACCACAGGTCAGGGTTGTGTTGGCTCCGCCTTTAACCTTTGTTATGATGGCGCTCCGCCCACAAACACACACACACACACACACACACACACACACACACACACACACA